GATCTAAACAGCCCAGCGCTGCTCCCGAAGACGGGGAAACTGACCCTGCAGGGAGACCTCCCTCTGCACCTGTGCAGGTGAAGCCAAAGGGCAGATTTGCTTCACCATATTTTCTAGTCTTTGTCTTAGAATGAAGTTGGTTTGGAAACATGTTCAGCGATGCTTCATCTCCTGTTTTGCGTTTGTGTGGGAGCCCCGTGCTGGCAGTGTCCAAGCGTTGTTTTTATTTTATTTTTTTCCCTTTTCATACCGCGACCCCCCGCAATGGCTCTGCGCCCCCCCTAGGGGGCGGGCCCCACACTTTGGGAAGGTCAAAAATAAGATAAATCAAATTTTATTTGTCTCACACACAACCATACACAGTATGACATGGGGGTGAAATGCTTGTAGCTGTACAATGCCCGACCATTAAATGACAGAAGAAAAGTTTTACAATATTTACAATTTACTACAAAATTTACAAATGAACTTATGAATTTACAGTAAAGAATGTGCAAATAGCAGAAGAGATTATAAAGATTATAAATTATAGGATTATAGGAAATGTGTGGTGATGTGTGGGAGAGTCCAGTCCTACACCTGGTTCAGGGCCTGAATAGCCTGGGGGAAAAAGCTCCTCCTCATTCTCTCTGTTTTGGCCTTAAGGGAGCGAGACCTAGATGACCTTTATTAGTCCCACAGGTGGGAAATTTGTTTCCTTACAGCAAAAGTGCAAAGTCATGTAGCAGAAATTAGAAAACACTGGAATGCAATAAAATAAAATACTATATAGAATAAAATGGAATACAAATGCTATAACTGAGTAAGAACATACTAAAGTACAACTTTGTCAGAAAAAGAATTGCACATATAGCCTTATATATATAGTCTTATTGCACATGTGTGGGTTGATTTTTATGATTTTATTTCAACACAATGTAAAAATGTTCTGGATATAAAATGAAAACTGTAGTTTCCTTATTTGGAGTTGTGGCTGCTCGTTTTCCTTTTGTTTTGCTTTGTTCATTTGTCTCTTTGAATTCTATGTTTTTCAACATGTTCAAAATAAAGATTCAATCAATAAAAAACTAGTTTCCTCAGATTCTTTTGGCAGCTTTGCTTTGGAAAGTTTAAAACTATTTTTAAATGTGGAAGTTTTGCGGGGGTGAGATGGAGACGGATGATCTGCTGTGTCAGTCCCCAAAGGGAGCAATCGAAAGACAAAGAATAATATTGATTTCTATTATCGATAGCTTCACATTTATATTCCCGTCTTTCTCTATCAGCAAAATAAAAACTACTGCTGCACAGCAGCTGTAAATATTCTCTGATTTTTATACTTTTCTCACCATCTTGTTTGCTAAGATTTCAACTGTTGTTCTAAAGTCGCTCATTTGGGGAAATAAATATGAAACGTTTTTCTTTCTCTCGTCCTTTATACAGTTTCAGGGTTTTTTTGTTTGTTTGTTTGTTTGTTTGTTTTACCTTCGGTGGAGTCACTGCTTATTGAAGTGAGAATAAATTCAGATTTGGTTTCTATAAATTCAAACATCCACACATCTGGTTTGTCTTTGTTGCTCCACTCCACAAACAACATGCTGACACTGAAACGTGTGCAGCAGCTTCAGTGAAACAAGTCCCGAGCCAAATGCGACCTGCACGGTCTGCTGTGACATGAACACAGAGGAAGGAACATCTGAAGCTCATCTGAGAGCTTTCATGTCTCCGTTTATTAACATCCGCTGGATTTGAAGATAATGAGGGCAAAGAAGGCGGTCGTGTCAGTCTAACATCCAGCAGAGGGCATCAGCGAGTTTCAGGTGATTTGAGCAGGGAGCGTAAACTTCGAAATTAAACCCTTTTTGGTGAAATCGAGTCATTCATTTACAAAAAGAAGCATAAATATTGGGTGGTGGGTTTTCAGGGATGAAGGAAACTGCTCGTGCTTGAGTTCTGTTAATTCTTAATTTATTACAACTGTTTCCGTAGTTGTTTAACTTTGTAGAAGATTATGAAACTCACAAAAGTTTGCAGCAAACAGGAGACTGTCACTTTGGCCACCGAGCAGGAGCAGCCCAGCGCGGCTACAACAGGTCAGCTCTGCTAGGACCGACACAAAAGCCGTTTCCGACCACGCTGAGGTGCTTAATTATCATGATTCATCATTTTAGGGGGAAAAAATCCCACAAAAAAGTGTTTTGCTCAGTTACAAAAAGAATAAAACAACAACAAAAAGCAAAGAAGAGAAAAACATTAAATTCTCACTTCATTCATTTTTAATATTTATAATTAAATAAGTTTCCAATATTCTCTCCTGTTCTATTGTATATATTTGTTCTTTTATGCGACGCTGTTTGTTTTTCTTTTGCTTTCAAGCCGAACACGATTCCACTCTCTGATTGGCCGAGCGGCTTGTCAATCTTTGACGTAGCGGCCAATGGCAGGAGCCGACAGGCGATACAAACTAGCAGCCGCCATGTTGTGTCTCCGGGGGCCTCGAGGGACGTCCGGTAGTAAACAGTAGATGACGGTACCGCCTGTTCGGCAGCTCTCAGGAACGGGACCGCAGCTGGAAGCTATGAGTCGTCCATCTTCAGCCGGAGGTGGGGGACTCGGGGCCGGGAAAGCAGGCGGAGGGAAGCACGGGGGAGCGGCAGGCGCCTCTGTTGCCGCAGCGGCCGCCGGCGTGAGCTCCGTGGCCGGGTCGGGGTCTGCTCCCCCTTCCTCCACCGTGTCCATGCCGGCTACCGGCCTCGTCGGACAATCCTCGGAGCTCACGGCGCTATTCGAGTGCCCGGTATGCTTCGACTACGTCCTGCCGCCTATCCTGCAGTGCCAGGCGGGTCACCTGGTCTGTAACCAGTGTCGTCAGAAGCTGAGCTGCTGCCCGACCTGCCGAGGCCCGCTCACCCCGAGCATCCGGAACCTGGCCATGGAGAAGGTGGCCTCCACACTGCCGTTCCCCTGCAAGGTAGACCCACAGACACAAACCGGCCCAGCTGATACTCACACACTACATCACAACTCTCTTCACTTCAGCTTGTGCACAACTTCCTCCACGCACACCTGTCACGTGACGTCATCAGAGCCAAACTAGAATTTCGATTGATTTTCCAAGAAAACGTCTGACACACAGTCAACGGAGTTAAAGGTCAAAGGTTACTCCAGAAAATTGGGATTTATTTTTTTTTTCCGTGCTGAGTTCACTGCCTGTAGTAATAATCGGACGTTGAAGCATCACTGCTTAGTTCACTGCGTGCAATCAGTGAAGGAAAGTCATGTCACAGAGTTCATTATGTAATATAGAAAGAGTATTAGGACGACATTAAGAAAAAATATGATCAATTTGAGAATAAAACCAAAATCTCAAGAAAAAAGTCAAATTAGTTATTTTGTAGAGGATTTGTTTGCTTTGAAACATCTTCCTATCATATCTTGTGATAACGTCCATCCTCTTTGTTGCAGGTGTAATCATCGATATCCTGGCATTTGTTCATTGCCATTTCATTTTGTACAAATTTGGCCAACGCTTCCACGATTGTGTGTTTGTTCTTTTGTTTGATTGGTCTTTCCTTTCTTTTCAGTGTCCTTATGCCTCTCACTGCACTGTGTTCATGTCCTAAAGGAACTAAAACACATTTTAAAGTACACATTCGCAATATCATTTGGTTTTATTCTCAAAAATATCAATGATTTTTATTTTCTTTATGTGGCCCTAATACTCTGTCAGAGTAATACAACCAGGAAAGTCCAGAGTCTGTGTTTAGTTCAGTAACTGTAATAAACATAGTTCAGCCAGCAGTGATGAGTCCACTGATTAATCAGGACTCGTCACTCTGCTGATTGTTTCCTCTGTTTGTCTAAAACCTGCAGATAAAAATGGATGACTGGTGTTTTAATCTCCTGCATACCAAAGTGACTGTAGAGTGAGAATCGTGACCAGGTTTTAAATAACATGTCCAACAAGTGTGCAGCTGTCCACATACCTTTGGCCTCGCAGCGTGTCGACTGATTGGAGCGGCGGCTCTGGTTCCATTACACGCACATTAAAGTTGAATTGTGTGTCGGCGGCTGAAAACTGAGTCCTGACTCTGACCCTGAGGAGGAAGAGGAGGTCTGATATGGACACAGTTTCCAACCTGCATAGTACAGAAAGACTTGATACAAACTGAAAGTAGATGTTTCACAGCTCGCTCAGCTCAGCAGGCTGGTTACAGGACAGACTGCCCTCTGGTGGTGTTTTCATGCAGTGCACGTGACCTCAACAGAATATGTCCCCAAGAGTTTAGGGGAGAAAACATTAAATTCAGCTTAATTTGAGTTTATTGAAGCTGTAAGTGAAGATCATGCATAAAATTTGGCTGGTCGACGAGCGTTTCGTCATCATTTAGATTTCAACCCACGAGAATCTCCTCACCACTCGTACACGTCCTACTGCCCTGTAATCATGTTGTGTCGTTATACCTCCTGCAGACAGCAGGCTCATGCTCATTTGTTTCACTGTTGCTGTTAAAATATGTTTTTTGTTTCTGTTGTGATGATCTTCCTCGTCTAATGCTTCTTGGTAAGTGTCTGCAGGCTGGTGTAGATGTCAGCCATACAAATCATTTGGTCACAGATGTTTTGGGTTTTTTCAGGGGAGGTTTGTGTTTTGAAAAGCCCGAAAATTCTACGTAGGACCCAATATTTACTGAGCTGTTCTCTACAGTAGGAGGAAGAACTGCAGCCTTGATGAGGTAGAGAGGACATGAAACTCTACATATAATGGCTAATTTACACCACTAAGTCCTGCTCTCACACCTGACATATATTACACTGTCTGTGAAGCCGGATTTAAGAAATAAGTGCTTAAAGTTTTAAAAAGATGTTTGGTGCCATCTTCTGTCCGTACAGAATGTGACGTCATGTGGTTGGTTGGCTGGTTGTGGCTAACAGACTAACATTAGTTTATGTTAGCTAAGTCGTGACAGTGATGCTATTGGCTTTCTGAATAGCAGCATGAGGTGTAAACATCCTGTAGTCTGGGTACAGAGCTGCCAATAATGCGCTCTGCAGTCAGACTGTGGCAGTTTCCATACCAGACTGTGATGCTGCTGGTTGGATGGATGCTCTCCATGGTGCCTCTGTGGAAGGTGTTAAGGATGGGTTTGGGGAGGCAAAACCTTCCTTAGTCGTCTCAGGAAGTGCAGTCGCTGCTGAGCTCTTTTTGTCACCGATTTGGTGTTGCTGGTCCTCTGTGATGCAAACACTGAAGAATCTGGTGCTCTTCACTCTCTACTGCGACACCAGCAATGCTGAGCTGGAGATGGACAGCCTTGGTCTTCCTAAAGTCAACATTGAGACATAGATTATTGTCCTTGCACCAAAGTGCCGTTGCACATCCTCTCTGTATGCAGCATCATCATCGTCCCTGATGAGTCCCACCACTGGGGTGTCATCTGGAGACTTGATCATTTGGATTGTGTTGGAGCTGGAGGTGCAGTCGTGGGTCAGCAGCGTGATTAGTGGGCTCAGCACACATCCCTGGGGGGTGGAGGGCGTCTATGCTCAGTCTGATGGTGTTGGATCTTATATTTCCAACCTGTACTGTCTATCAGTGAGAATGTCCAGGATCCATTTGCAGGTGGAGGTGTTGAGTCCGAGCAGGTCCAGCTTGCTGATCAGCTGTTGGGGGATGATGGTGTTGAATGCTGAGCTGAAATCAATGAACAGCATTCTTATGTGGGCGTTGCGTTGATCCAGGTGTGATAGAGCTAGGCAGAGTGCCAATGAGATCGCATCACCCATTGATCGTGATATGCAAACTGTAGTGGGTCCAGTTTGGGGGGGAGCTGCTTCTTGATGTAACTCAGGACTAGTTGCTCGAAGCACTTTGTGATGATTGGAGTAAGTGCTTCTGGGCAGTAGTATTTGAGCTCCGAGGCTGTAGCTGTCTTTGGCACAGGGGGGTTAAAGCACTGTGGCACAACAGCTTGGCTCAGGGACATGTTGATGACGTCTGCTAGGACAGCGGTCCCCAACCCCCGGGCCTTCGACCAGTACCGGTCCGTGGGTCGTTTGGTACCGGGCCACGAGAGTTGAGGCTCAGGTGTGAAATGTCTGGTTTTCAGGGTTTTATCGGTTTCAGTGTTATTTTGTTTTCGTTTTTATCGTTTACTCGGTTTTTCTGGGTCTTTTCACGTGTGTTATGAATAAATCTTCTTTTTTTTCAGTACCGGTACTAGTTTCATTTTGTTGTATTTATCCGCGACACCTTAAAGGCCGGTCCGTGAAAATAATGTCGGGCATAAACCGGTCCGTGGCGCAAAAAAGGTTGGAGACCGCTGTCCTAGGACATCGGTCAGCTGGTCAGCACAGGCTCTGAGCACACGTTCGGGTATATTATCTGGTCCAGCAGCTTTGTGTGGGTTGACTTTAGCGAAAGTCCTTTCACTCGGGCCGTGGACAGGGACAGCACTTGGTTGTCTGGCGAGGGGCTGGTTTTCCATGCTGGCTCATTGTTTTGAGTCCCAAACCTGGCATCGAATGTGTTAACTGCGTCTGGTTGAGAGGTGTTTGGATGTCCCGCCACATTCGCTGAGAATCTCCTGACCAGGCAAAGAGATCACTGACTTTCTTTGAGCTTGATGTCCTTGGTTTGCTTGGTTGAAGTCCCCAGCGATAATGAAAAAGCCCTCGGGGTGGAGAGATTGCAGGTCCCTGACGGCCTCGTACAGCTCCCATAGCGCCTCCTTAGCATTAGCGTCAGGAGGAATGTACACTGCCACAATAACGATGATTCTGAACTCCTGCAGCAATGATAAGGCCTGCACCTCACTGCCATAAATTCAACACACGAGCAGCCCCGCATGCTTTTTCAGATGTGGGATCACTTTAGTGCTGCAGCAACGAGTTAATGTTAAACTGATGTACTGCCCACTTTGCCGTCTGTCTCTCTTTAGCAGTAAGTTGTCTTTACAAATCAGATGTGGCATGCGCTGCGTCAACGCTAACTAGAGCGAAGAACCCAAAATTTCCGCCGCGCTTGTGAGTACACAAGCAGATCGATCAGTCCCAGTATTAACACTGTACACTAACACAGTAGCTTTATTACAAAATACTAAAACACTGGTTTGATGAGTAGGAACTTTATTGTATTTAAGCAACTGCAGAGAGCAGCAAGGATCAACTGTCAAGCTAGTCATGCACATTTCTGCTGATATACTGTGTGCCATGGTTTTCAAATAGGGCTGCCACGATTACGTCGACTATCAAAACCGTCGACGACTGATTTAATAGTCGACGCGTCATTTGAAGCTTTGTAAGATCACAAAAGACGCAGGAATAAGTAGCAGGATTTAAGAGTGTAATAACGGACTGAAACAGAAGGTGGCAGCACTGCATGTACAAGGATGCCAGCTGCCATTAAATATATATTTCCCTCATTTTTACTGGTGACTGGTAGGAGGTAAGCTGCTGATTTCTCCAGGAGGTGGTTGTGTGTGAAGAACGTATTTGGCAACATTCAGTCGTTGGACAAACAGGAGGAAGTTCTGTGTAACTCCTTGAAAACGGTGAGCTGAGGTTCCCCGTAAGCGCTCACAGCTAATGTTAGAACAGGCTTTTCCCCGCAGCACGCCGTGTAATAAATACTCACAAAGGAAACAGCGGCCGTTACAACTGATGTCTAAAACTTTATCGTTTCATGCATCGGTTAAAACACTCGACTCCAGCTACATGACGCCCAGCTGGAAACACTTCACGCAAGTCGAGCTGCCCAAGATTCACAGAATGTACAGAAAATAAGTTTTTGTGATTTATATCGTTATCGGACGATAGAATTCTTATATCGAGATATGAGATTTTGGTCCTATCGCACAGCCCTAAGTGTGAAACCATCACAGATCTGGAGGTGAAGGTAACTGAAACGTGACGATGTTTCAGAGTCGCCTGTGCAGAGCTGTGGCTGCTGACTGTCTGGCTCTCTGAGAC